CAAACGCTGCTTTCAAAATCTTTTTTGAAGGCAATTCTTAATAAAGAATAAATAAAATGAGAAGTTCTTAAATCATGAGCCAGTATCCAAAAGGAAGACCTGAGTCTCGGGAAAGAGGCCATTACATCACCCATGAACATTATCATCCTGTCCTTCTGAGGAGAGGCAGAAGAGGTATCAGGCCTTGCTCTGGACAGAGGAAAAAAGGCAGTTGGCCAGCAAGGCTTGCTGAGGCTCTGCCTCTGCCTCAGGCTGGCCTCTGGGAAGATAGGCACAGGCTTGGAGTGAAGAACAGGTTCCCTTTTCCTCCTTTGCTGGCCCCAAGGACTGCTTATCACTGTAATCCTCACCTGTCCTCTGGGGCTTCGGTCCCTGGACCTCTGGGAACTGGGAACACAGTACAGCAGACTACCTCTGTGGGTCTGGGGTGTGGTAAGTAGGCAGTACCTGGACTCCATTCTAGGCCTTGGTTTGCTTCTAACTTGGTCTCCAATCTTCTGAATGTGATGACTCTAAGATAACTTCTAGAAGTTTCTGAGAGGGGTCAACCTAATGCTGGCAGAAGTAATAAGAGACTTCCCTTTTCTTCTCTTGGCTTTACCCCACTGTGCTCTGTTTTCCCCTTTCTCACTTATTCCATGTGGGTACAGAGTGGGAGGAACAGAAGATGAAGAGGTACAGAATGATGTTAAAGGGAGATGGGGTAGACATGGCCAGCAGTGGCCCCTCACTTTCCATCAGAAGAACTGTGCCACTGCCCCATTGTGAAGGCCTCAGGTGAGGGACCAAGGAGGCAGCCAGGGCAGCACTAGGGAAGGTGAAGGACATGGACTGTGGCTGCTCTCAGATGCCATGTTACCTGTCAGGACCCCAAAGGATCGGGCGTGTGTGAATACCAGGGGCTGCCTGACTTCGAGTCTCCCTAGGATACCCAGGGCCTAGGAGCATCAGTAACACGGTGACCAAGGAGTGGAGTAGAGATGAGGGTGTGCCCAACACAGGGCAAGCTGAGAAGGAAGAAACAATAGTAAAAAGAGTTTGATAAAGGGTAGATTGTGGAGGAGAAAAAGGAGGAGATGTGGGCAAGACAACACCTAGCTTCAGATACTTACAGCTTCAGATACTTTTCAGGTCTATGTGCAAAATGTGGGGTGGGGGACCAGCCCACATACATGTTGGGAACCCACTTAGTCAGGGATCCTTGCTCCTACCCTCCAGTTCCAAAGGGCAGAGCCTATTCCATCTGCTGTCATTAGGCCCAACAGAACTCCTCAGCCTGTTAGAGTCCAGGCTGCCCCAGGGGCTACTTCCAAACAAGGCTGCCTGCACTCGGCAGGCTCTACTGCCCAAAGGTTTACACTGAAATGTACTTGGCTTTGGACGATTTCATTTTAATATCCTTTAGGAGAAGATTTATAAACATAAGGCAAGGCTCTGGACACTTAGCAGGGTTCGGAGAGCTGTTAATACCAAGTTTGTCTATTGCTGGTCTGGGCGGCTGGCCAGGCTCAGGTTAGTGGCATTCCAGGAGCCTGAATTGGGAATCTTTATGCAGTCACAGTCCTTCCAGACTTCTAGGGCATTTTCATCTGCATGAGGAATGCAGGAACGGCACAGGGCAAAAGGATTCGCTCCAGTGAGGAGCCTGAAGCACTTGACTCCAGCCAGCAGCAGGTTGTGTGCAAGCAGGCGATGCCTTCAATGGGCATCCAGCAAGTGAGCACACAGACTACAGAGAATCCTGGAGAAATTCTTCTCATTAAAGATTCTTTTTTTTTTTTTAAACCAAAACTCAAACGTCTTTGTGCCCTGCACAGATAGGTTTAGACCCAGGAGAGCAGCGCTTAGATCCCTCTCAACACTTGGAAGGTCAATACAGGTTTACTTCCATGGGATCTGGTCAGGACTTCTGAACTAGAAATGACCAAGTCAAGTTCAGAAGGTCTTGTGTGGGTGAGAGGTGTGGTGGACTGGGTCTCCCCGCTGGGTGTTAGACAAAGACAAGTTCCAAATGCTCCCCTTTCGTTTCCCCTTACTGGAGAAACCTCGGCTGTGGATGGGTTTCTCTCATTCCTGCTGCAGGAGCTTCTGTCATGTAGGGGAATAGCAGAGAGATGACATGAAGACAGAAGGAATGTGCCTGCCTGCCTGCCTGGACCCTCTCCCGCCGCTACAGCCCCTGGTCACACACCCTCCTCATCTAAAGTCATCAGTCATAAGTCCTTCCTTCTGGGAGGACTTGATATCTTATCCTTCTATCTTTGTCTTCCATACAAATTTTAACTCTGACTGACAAGTGGGCTTTCTAGGTGCAGGTCACCAACTGCCCAAGGGGTGGCAGAGACATAGGGCCAAGGATGGAGCTAAGACCCTGTACAGGCTCCTAGATTCTGACCTTTCCTAGTGGCTCTACATGCCCTTTTCTTTGGGCTGAATTCACTCCTCCTGCATCCCTTGACTGCTTCAAACTCCACAGCCTCTTTGGCAGGTCTAAATGTTAAAGGGTAAGGAAGGAAAGGGGACAGGTGCAGTGCCAGTCCTTATGATACGACACAGTGATAAACAGATTCTGGTGCTCAAATCTCTATCACTCGCTGGCTATGGGCCCTTGGGAAAATTACTTAATCTCCCTGTGTCTTAGTTTCTCCCCAAACTGGGGGTTATACTACTGTCTCACACGATTGTGAGCACTTCTGAGTTAACAGGTATAGCATGGTTAGAGCCCTGTCCAGTATATCCTATGTAAGCATTTATTATTATTACTGTGTGAGGTCATTTAATTCTCATATACATTTTTGCCTGTATCAAATAGGTATTTTTATTACTCACAATTTATAGGGGTGGCAATACCAGTACCATATTTAGACTGGAAATTTTAAATTATATATAAGTAATGCAAATTGGATTGTCAGTGGTTCTGTAAGTCACCCAAGGAGAGTGGCCTAACTTTGCAGTTACAGAACAAAAGCATCTTAGGGCAACTTCTAACAAATTCTGTCGGTTTCCACCCAATTCACACATTGGACAGGTGAGGGCACTGAGCAGTAGGTGGGATGCTAGAAGCCAGAATCCTTCCAGGCAAAAAGATGGTCTCTTGGCCTTCACTTCCTCTGTTTATTATTCTCTCAGGAATAGATCCTTTTCTCCCATATCCCATCAGTTTAAATGCTCACAACTGGCCAAGCACCAGTAGCTCACACCTGTAATCCTAGCTACTTGAGAAGCAGGCAGAGATCAGGAGGATTGCAGTTCGAGGCCAGCCTGGGCAAATAGTTTGTGAGACTCTATTCTCAAAAACAGTCAACACAAAAACAGGACTGGAGGAGTGGCTCAAGTGATAGAGCACCTGCCTAGTACATGAGGCTCTGCATTCAAAACCTCAGTACCACCAAAAATAATGCTCAGAACCCTCCAGTTATCTTAACCCCAAGTAAAACAAGACATATCTAACACATTCACACTCCTGCTGTCTACATCAAAAGTTATGGACCCAGCCCTCACACTTGTTTTGGCTCACTCAGAAGCTTAAACATATTTGAGTTAGTTACCATCAGTCAAAAACGAGATTTCTGGGCTGGTGGAGTGGCTCAAGTGGCAGAGTGTCTACTTAGCAAGTGTGAGGCCTTGAGTTCAAACCCCAGTACTGCTCCCAAAAAATTGGAGATTTCCCATAAAAATCCAGATTTCTTCCTTCTCTTGAAAAAAGCATGTCTACCAATGTAAACCTGCCTACCATATGGAGCAATGGGCCAAAGATAGGTGGCAGGGCTAACTTTGTCTAGTTTGCCACAGTCCTCATCTTTCCATATTGTCTCTCTCATACTACAGCCAATTAGCTGCTGTTTATAATTATACTTGCTGCTGCTAACCACCTGCTTCACTCACAGTGCCTATTTGGCTCTTGGAGATACTGAATTTGTTATTCTCAGGGTTTCTCTCAAACATGGATTCACATTTTAGGTGTTTCATTAAGAGCTAGAAGTTCCTGTCCCCTGATTCAAGGAATTTTAGGCACTAAAAACTATGGTCAAAGCGTTGGTTTTCTGATGATTTTTAAGGCAAATTTGATTGTTACATGTGGAGTGTTACAGGGAGAGAGGACCAGACAAGTTACCTGCCTTCTCTCTCTATCCCTAACCAGGTTCCTCCAGATCTGAAAAGGTGCTATAAGCCCAGGCGGCCAGAATGAGGGATCTGCCAGGTGGGATGGACAGATGGATGAACATGGGACTCCCTTAATCAGCTCTTCCATGTACTGGTGGTGGGTCTTTTTGGACCAGGCTGTTCCTTGACATGTCCCCTTTAACTTCTCCCAAGCTCAGCCTGCTAGCCTGACTCCTGCTTCCTGAACCATTCACAACATTGGAATTCTGGCGCATTGAACCTTTTTTTTCCTGAAATAATAATTTTTTTTTTATCTGATGTCTTGGAATATACCCTAGGTCTTCTTTATGAGTTGTCCTGTGTTTCTGAATATTTTGAACACAATGAAATCACTAGAATGTGTTTCTTGTCGACAGAGGCACAAGGCACATGTTATACTCTGGAGCCTGGGATGCTAGAGTAAAGAATTCGAGAGGCCTGGTGCTCTAATTATTATTTAGGGATAAGGAAAACCCTATACACCATGAGCAGCAAGTTCCTTTTGGAACCTTGGAGCCATGGAAGGTCATCCTGGTATAAAGTTCTGCCCTGAGAGAGCCAGAGGTAGAGTGGTTGCCACAGTAGCTCCACAGCAATCTTTAAAACTGTCACCTTTGAAGGCAGAGATTTGCCTGTGAGCTCAGCATGGTTCCCTGGGGCTCTCTCTCAGTAGCTGTGCTTGAGGAATAGTGGCACTGAGAAGGGGAAGGTTAAAGGGAGCTATAGGAGAATAGGAAGCAAAGGGCAGGGGGAAGCAGTAGAGCAGCAAGCCACAGGTCAGAAGAAATAGCCCCACCCACCAGTCACCTACCCCCAAGGAGCTTGAGTGCAACAAGAGTGGGAAGGCTTGTTCTTACCATGGTACTCAGGCCTCCCAGAAGCAACAGCAGCACGGGCAACAAAGTGTGCAGAGTCTGCAGCTTCCTCTTGGGAGGGATCTCTACTCAGGACGATGAGATGTGCCTACCACCACAGAAAGAAAAAACAAGGTGTTTACAAGGTTGGTAGCAGCAACTGGGTACTAACTGTCCCTTCAGTGATAAGCAGAAAGCCAAGGAACTTTCCAGAAAGCTGGAAGAAATGATTATGTGACACACATGGGTTTTTAAAAGCATTGGGTGGTAGAAAAACACTGGATCCGAATGGCTTGACGCCATGGCAGAGGCTATCCTAAATCACCCAAAAGTCCTTGAGAATTTGAGTTAGCAAAGAGGGTGGGAGAGTTTCAAGAAGTAAAAATTGTCAGCACTGTGCAGAGGAAGTGGACAAGCCCAGACTTGCCTATTGGTCAGCCCAGAAAGCAGGTCCTACCCACCACTGTGAGGAGCCTCACCCATGCAAGTTCTAATCCCAAGACTGATCCACTAGGCCCATTTGCCTACACCCTCCCAAAGGGAACTGCCTTGGTGCAAAAAAAAAAAAAGCTCAGCTCCTTGAACATAAAGTCCATTTAAAAAATTCTTTAACAAAACAAACACAAAAATGCATGATCCTAAATAAAATAAAATATAAAATACATCCTTTACATCCTTTAAAATAAAAAGATAGTTACTATGCATCTCCCCGCCAATATTTAGAGCTTTAAAAATACTGTTAGCAATACATTTACATTCATTCAATCAACAGATACTTATAGATTGCCTGTAATAGGAGAGGCACGTGCAAGAAGGTATGGGCAACTACAAAAGCTGAAATAAAATATTGTGAAGTCAGGGCTGGAGGCATGGCTCAACTGGTAGAGTGCTTGGGTAGCAAGCACAAGGCCCTGAGTTCAAACTCCGGAACCACCCACAAAAATAATAATGGTGAAGTTATACAATACACTTAATGTGAGGTGGTAGGTAGCTTACAATTAATTGCTGAAAGAGTGACAAAGATTCTGAAATACCATCAGTTTAAAGGAAGGAAACATTGGCTTGCAATAGGTGAAACACACTGTCAACAACTAATATTTAAGTTACCCTCTTAACTATTTTTTGTGATACTCCACTTTTAATTTTCTTGAAGTTTTTTAATTTTTAAATTTTTTTTAATGATTCTCATATTACAGATGAGAAAATTGAGATTACTGAATGGGTGAGTGCTATAGTTTGGATCTGGACTCTTCCCCAGAGGTCATGTGTCCTCAGCACGGTGCTATTGGGACACAAAGGAACATTTAAGAGGTGGGGCCTAGTAAAGGTTTTAGAGTATTGGAGTTTTGTTTTCCTGGTCGCCAGAAGGTAAGTATGATGTGCTGACTCTCCACGGGCTCAAAAGCAATAGGACCACTCCATCATGGATTGAAGCCTCCAAAACTGTGAGCCAAAATAAACCTTTCCACTTTTTTAGGTTGATTTATCTCAGGTATTTGTTATAAAAATGAAAAATTGACAAATACAGAGAATGGCCAAGGTACCATTCTCTGTATCTCCATCTGTATCTCCATCTGTATCTCTCACATGGAGATAGGGCTCTGACCTTGATACTTTGACTTCAAATTCTTCAATTCTGCTTACCAGCCTATGGTGGCAGACATCACTAATCGATGCCAGCACACACCCAGGAGCCTAATTCAGCCTCTGGGAGCTGCAGCTAACCCATGGAACTAGCACAGGGGACTAAGTCATCCTAGCAGAGCTTTCTAGTCTGCGCCAAGCAGACTAGAGTATTTGCTCCTCTGATGACAACTGAATACATTTCTGAAACTATAATCAGGGTGGAGGTATAATCTCTGACTCTAGACTCTTGCCTCATCTGTCACATGTTAAAATCTGAGCTACTAGCTCTAGACATTTTGTGATAGCAGCTACTCCAAACCAAGAATGTTGACAGTAAGTTTTATTGCTGCATTACATCAGAATTCTTATTTATGAGTGTTAACCAATATTTTTCCCTTTAAAATGACTTTTTTCTTATTATAGGCTATGAAGAATGGAATAAGTGATTTTGGCAACTCTAAATTAGTCTCTGTTGGTTTGACACAGAAGGCCCACTCTTACACCTCTAACTTGGAAAGCTTTTCAAATAATGGGTACTTTGAAATACAGTTTCATGTACATACAGAGTATGAGAACCAAGGAATAGAGTCAAGCTATCACATGTTCAGTGTTTGGAGATAGGAAAAAAGAGTGGGTCCCCTCTGGGAGCAAGAAACTCCCTTGAATGCAGACTGAGCCCTATTTGCCTTGTGTTTCCCCCTTGGCTACCTATCTTACAATTCACCATCACTGTGTAATACCAGGCAAGTTTTTCCCCAGATTATTTCAAAGACTCAATATACTATAGTTTAGATTGATTTAAAACTCAAATTAAAACAAAGATTTTCTAACTCATTTCTACTCACTATTATAATTAAAAGAAATATAATAAATACATGTCTACCAAAATTATTTTCAAATGAATAATTACATGTTTTGAGAGTATCATAAGTTGCTTGTTTTCCTTGGAGTTCAGAAAGCAACATTTTTCTTTTTTTTTTTTCCTTTTTCTTTTATTATTCATATGTGCATACAAGGCTTGGTTCATTTCTCCCCCCTGCTCCCACCCCCTCCCTTACCACCCACTCCGCCTCCTCCCTTTCTCCCCCCCAATACCTAGCAGAAACTATTTTGCCCTTATCTCTAATTTTGTTGTAGAGAGAGTATAAGCAATAATAGGAAGGAACAAGGGTTTTTGCTGGTTGAAATAAGGATAGCTATACAGGGCATTGACTCACATTGATTTCCTGTGCGTGGGTGTTACCTTCTAGGTTAATTCTTTTTGATCTAACCTTTTCTCTAGGTCCTGGTCCCCTTTTCCTATTGGCCTCAGTTGCTTTTAAGGTATCTGCTTTAGTTTCTCTGCATTGAGGGCAACAAATGCTAGCTAATTTTTTAGGTGTCTTACCTATCCTCACCCCTTCCTTGTATGCTCTCGCTTTTATCATGTGCTCATAGTCCAATCCCCTTGTTGTGTTTACCCTTGATCTAATGTCCACATATGAGGGAGAACATAGGATTTTTGGTCTTTTGGGCCAGGCTAACCTCACTCAGAATGATGTTCTCCAATTCCATCCATCTACCAGCGAATGATAACATTTCGTTCTTCTTCATGGCTGCATAGAATTCCATTGTGTATAGATACCACATTTTCTTAATCCATTCGTCAGTGCTGGGGCATCTTGGCTGTTTCCATAACTTGGCTATTGTGAATAGTGCTGCAATAAACATGGGTGTGTAGGTGCCTCTGGAGTAACAGTCTTTTGGGTATATCCCCAAGAGTGGTATTACTGGATCAAATGGTAGATCGATGTCTAGCTTTTTAAGTAGCCTCCAAATTTTTTTTCCAGAGTGGTTGTACTAGTCTACATTCCCACCAACAGTGTAAGAGGGTTCCTTTTTTCCCCCATCCTCGCCAACACCTGTTGTTGGTGGTGTAGAAAGCAACATTTTCAACAGCAAAAAAAAAGCTCACCATATCAAGAAAGCTTAAGGGAGTCTGAATTTTTACAAATTTTTCATGACCTCAACATTTTCCTATGTGAGATGCTAATACTGTATAAGCAAACATTTATTATTCATTACTAACTTTAGAAATTGAACTCCTGATCTTATTTATTATTTGATGTTCATGAAGCTTTTAAAAATCATATGCTGGAGGGAGAGAGAGAGGAGAGCACCCAGAATGTTTAAAATGTGTCAAATTAGCATCTCATTTATTAAGTAAAATTCCATTCAGTTCTGTTTAATTCACTCCTATTAGACTCAATGTATTTTCATTTTAAGTGCTTTCTACATGCCAGATATTGTGCTAACACTAGGAATTCACACAAAAAATTAGGCAGGAATTTCAAGTTTTTGGAAATCACAGATGAACTACAAAAAACACAGGGTGATCCGTTTTAGGTAGACATACAACACCACACCTCCCCCCTCAACCCAGTAACTTTTAGCACTAAGTAGCTTCCTCTCTACCCTCCTTCTGTTATCATTTCCAGTGATTTCAAAATCCATGGGATTGACCCGTACCTATCCAGTAAAAGAAAGATGGCACCCATACACAGGTTAATAGATGAAAGGGGTCAATAAAAGAATTCTTTGTACAGAAGAAATCTAATGATGAGAGTAAAGGACCCCACATTAAGGAGCTTTGCCATCCTTGGCTGGCAAAGCAAGGAAGGAGTATTTGCTGTAACTGTAAAGATAGACTGTAGGGGAGAGAGTGGCAGCTTTCAGCACAGGGATCCAGTCCATCTGAGGTGAACTCACTGGGAGGAGCTGGGGGAACAAACACTCCATTCTCCTCCCATGCCTCAGGCTGTTAGGCTCTCAGAGGGCAAGGGCATAGACCAGGTACTTAAAAGTCAGCCTCTGGGCACAGAGCAGGGCCAAGATGCATGCAGAGTGGAGCTGGAGGAGCAAACAAAGGAAGGAAGGAAGAATGAATTCAACAAGTGTCCCAACTAACTTCTTGGCCTCTCAGGGTTTTTTGTTTGTTTCTGGCAGCAACAGAGTTGGAACTCAGGACTTTGCACTTGCTAAGCAAGCGCTCTACCACTTGAGCCAACACCTCCAGCCTGGCCTCTCAGGTTTTGTGAGATACTCGTTTTCCTTCTACACTGTGCCCAGTGTCCTAGTTACACTCTTGGTGGTATCACTGATTACTCGCTACTACCTCTGGACCCTCCAGCTCACAGACCATCTTTGTTCAGGATCCCTGACTCTACTGCATTTATGTGACTTCTAGTCCCCTTCTCCACTGCCCCCCATGTTTCTCTTCCACCCACTCCTGCTCTCCCTTCCTTTCTTGTCCAGCTTAGGCAGCACCGTCCATTGTCAGTATCAAAGATACCCTCAATTCCATTGAAGCATTATTTGAGATGGTGAAATGGGGAACCACCTAAGTATCTATCAGCAGGGGAACAAATAGATTGCGGCTTATTCATACAATGATTGAAGTCGTGTCTCACTATATATTGACATGGTTTTACATTTCAAAAACAT